CATTGATATTTATGAAGCACTTAATTGTTTGTTCCTTTTCCTGATAAATAGATTTTGCAGAGGAAGTGGTGAGAGAATAAACAATTCTGTCTCTAATTGAATTAGGCTTCAATGTCAATGTCTGCAGCAATTAAATTATTTCATTATTTCAGATATACACACAAATCTATACAGCCTCAGTTTCCACATAAATCTCTTAGTTCATTAAACTCAGAAAGAAATCTGTGTTCCAAATACCTCAGTGCTCTCTAATGAGCTACTCAATGTCCTCACTACTATTAAATTTTATAGAGTTTTCATAGGTATTTTATTTGGCATCATTTCCAAATGGCAACTATCAACTCTTGTAATTCCCTAACATTCTTGGTCACCATAATTCTAGGATAAGAAATAAGAGAAAATGTTCCCTTGCAAAAGTTGTGTTCATTCCAGCTCTACCAACATACTCTCATTTAGACCACCTTTGGAAATTTCAAGTGGGCAAATGAATTTACAATGTGGTAAATGAATATATTTTTATATTTGGCTTTTAAGGCATGCAACACATAGGTAAACTGTTTAGTTGGTGTATTACATTTTAATATGCCACATTTTTAGTTGCAGACCAATATGTAGAATTTCTGTATTATTTCATTTTAACTGCATGATACATTTTCATAAAGTAAAATAGAAATAAAGTCACTTATTGTTTGACCAGATTTTTTAAAAATTTATCTACTTGAGAGAGAGAGAAAATATTCTGTCAGCTGGTGCATTCCAGTGGGGTTGGGCCTAAAACAGAAAAGAGAATTCAATCCAGGACTCTCAAGTGGTGGCAGGGACTTAAACACATTTTTTAAACATTTATCTATGTTTTTGAAAGGCAGAGTGACAGAGCAAGAGAGCCAGAGTAAGAGCAAGAATGAGAGTATGTATGCATGAGAGAGAGAGAGAGAGAGAGAGAGAGAGAGAGAAAAGAGAGAGACAGAGAGAGAGATTCCACCTATTGGTTTACACTCCAGATGGCTGCAACAGTGGGACTGGGCCCGGCCAAAGTCAGGAGCCTTTTTTTTTTTTTTTTTTTTTTTGAAAGGCAGAGTTAGTGAGAGAGAGAGAGAGACAGAGAGAAAGGTCTTCCTTCCGTTGGTTCACTCCCCAAATGGCCGCTACAGTCGGCGTGCTGCGCCGACCCGAAGCCAGGTGTTTCTCTTGGTCTCCCATGAGGGTGCAGGGCCCGTGCACTTGGGCCATCCTCCACTGCACTCCCGGGCCACAGCAGAGAGCTGGACTGGAAGAGGAGCAACCGGGACAGAATCTGGCGCCCCAACTGGGACTAGAACCTGGGGTGTCGGCGCCTCAGGTGGAGGATTAGCCAATGAAGTCAGGAGACTTGTAATCCATCCATGTCTCTCATAGGGGCAGCAGGCACTCAGCCGCTTGAGCCATCATCTGCCATTTTTCCATCTACATTAACAGGCAACTATATCAGAAGCAGAGCAACTGGGACTCAAACCAGCACAGCTATACAGGATGCAGGTATCTCAGCAGCAGCTTAAACCACTATTGGGGGATCAGCCTCTGTTGCCTCTCAAGAATCACTGATGACTGGCCGAGCCTTAAATGAAACTCCACTCACAGCTACACTTACACAGGACATTTTCCTTTCAGTTTCCCATAATCCTTCTATTTAGTTACCCCTTTGTTATCTAGAGTGGTCAAAACTTTGGGGTAATCCTTGTGGTTTAACTGAAATCTTTCTAATCTTTTTGAAAGTGTCAGTTAGACCTCCTCGAAATACTGTATTTTTGAGTTCCATATGCTTTTCTCCAGTATAGCAGTACAGACATTGTTTAATAAAGAGCATCTGGTTTCACTACCTATGGAAAATCTTTGTAAGAGTGTGAGCTTATTTAAAAACACACATTGACATATAGTTTTCAAAAGTGAAATTTATGAACTCTAATGACATTGGCAGAGAGATTTTGGGGGTTTGATCTCTCCTACTACAATGGGGAAGGAGTCTCCTCTAAGTCAACATGTGAGACAACAGCTTACACAGGACTATAATTGTAATGTTGGGAATTCTATGGAGTTTGATGATTTTTCTGACATAATTTGCTCCTGTGCTTTGCAGTGCATATGTTCGTACAGCTCAGAATTCCTATCTGTCCTTAAAATTGTATTGTTGTATTCAGTGCATTTTATCACTGAAACATACTAAATTTTGTATCACACAATTCTTTTTTATTTAGAAACAAAATAATATAGTGTAAAGTGTAAAGAAACGGCTTCACTTAAAATGTCATTTCCAAAATTACTCTAAATGTGTTCGGCTGTGGAAAGGATTTAAGTCAGAACAACAATGGGTTGACTAAAAATAATACCTCGTTTGACAGGTATAAGCTCTGAAGTACAAATATATTTTGAGACTTTCTTAGACATGCCCTGTTTCTCTCCAGTGGCCAAATTGACTGCCCTTGACAAATTAGTCTAGTCAGGCACAAAATATACCAAGTATCACAGTGTCTGAAGATTTTTTTTTCCTGCTCGTTAGCAAACTGATCAGTTATAAACCATATTTTCTGACTAAAATAATTATAAACGCACTTACTCATGGGATTTATTTTATTTTTGGCATTACCTACACCATAGAAGATCACAAATATATTTCATTTGCTCTCTATGCCCTCATTTCATGATGCTTTAAAATGATATTAATCATTTATCTTTTAAAAACTTCACTAAATACTTCTCTACATATAACAAATTCATTTAAAAATAAGCTTCATTGGAGCAAAATTCTGTTGGGGGCTGGAGGGACTGAGTTATTCTTTGTTTAACTCTTATGGATACCTGAATTTCGACTTAATATTCACATGTGCATCTCACTATTAGGACAAGTGCTGTATAGAGGGATTCTTTAATTCAAAGCTTGATCAGGATAATAAACTCTTAAATTGTGGATGTTTTAAGTTACACTTCAGAATGAGAAAGAGACAGAATTCACTTTGCTCTTCATATTGTATAATTATAAAAATAAAAATTATATTGTCTAATTTATTCTGATGTTAAGTAATTTTTCCTCTTCACTAAAAGACTAATGAGAAATTTGGGACCATATGGCCAAAAAAGTGCAACATGGTTTCAATTCTTTTGTCCATGTACTTCTGTCATATTTTTGTGTCCCTCAGACATTATTACCATGTTTTCTGTGGCTTTATATGCTGATTTTAGAAGTCTTTGTTGGATATTTGTTTTAGTCTCTACTATAACTTATAAATGTTCTCTTTAGATGTAATATTCAATCAATTAATTTTTGTAGAGGTTTGTTTCTTCAATGGATTTAGCAAAATGTTTTACTCTTTCTATTAATACAGGAAAGGCTTCTCTCTATAACTGAATTGCTTTTCTTAACTCTGAATTTATTGAAAATACGAATTGCACCATGGCAGCTTAGAGTCACACTTGGATTGCTGTCCAGGCTGAGCAGTGCATTTCTTATTCAGCAACAAAAATAACAACAATTGTGCCTGCAGTAATATTTTACTATATACCAGCTTCTAACATCTGACTATCCACTATTACTTTCTCACTCTGATTTCTCAACCTCCACTTCACAACCTCACTGTAGTAGTAAATCAGGTATGTTTCTTTGCTTGTTGGTTTATTGTTCCCTGTTTCATCATTCCAGGTTAATAGGAGGAGTGTTCTGTTCCAATTTTTTATTTGCTATTTCAATGTGAGGTTTATGTAGGGACAATTAATTGCATAATAAGTAAGAGATGGAAACCTACAGAGTTCAGGCACTTTCCCAAGTGCACTTTGGAATTGAGTTCCCAGTAGCCACCCACCCACACTCACATTTCTTCTCTGTATTATATATCTGACTTACTGAATTCTTGAGTAAAGTATTCTTGACAAAGGAAAAATAGATGCTACCTAATCTGTTGGATGGTTGATTGTCCAACTTTGGTGGATATTAGAATCAGTTAGGTAGCTGACTAAAACACAGATTTCTAGTCCTCATCCTCCAAAGAACCGTTAATCTCTACTTTTTTTAGCATGGGCAGAAGGGAGGGTGTGTTGGGAAGAAGCACTAAGTTCCTAAATCTGTATATATGAAATAGATTAAATTTGTATACTTTAAATACAATTTTTAAAATGATCAAAAAATATTATTCTTCAGAGCGGGTACTGTGGTGCAGTTGGTTAAGGTACTGCTTGAGATGCCAGCATCCTGTACTGGAGTGCAAGGGTCCACTCTCAATTACTCTACATTTACAATCCAAAGTCCTGCTAATGTGCCTGGGAGGCAGCAATGACCCAAGTACTTCAGTTCTTGCCAATGGTTCGAAAGACCTGGATGGAGTTCTTGGCTCCTGGATTTGGTTTGGCACAGCCCTGTTGTTGCTGGTATTTGGGGAGAGTGAATCAGCTGATGGAAGATTCCTCTCTCTCTCTCTCTCCTTTCTCAGACCCCTTCCTCCTCTACCCTCTCCCTCCCTGACTCCCTCCCTCCCCCCGCCTTTCACATAAATACATATGTACATACTTTGAAAATAAATCTTATTATTTGCCCATGTTTGAGTTAATAACATGTACCTTGCCTAGTTCTGGCTCATAGGAAATAAGAATAATTTAATGGGGGAGGCACACATGTGGCCTCGCAGTTAAAATATTACTTTTCACACCTGTGTTTCATATTGAAGCACCTGGGATCAATTTTTTGCTCCAGTTCCTGATTCTAGCTTCCTGTTAATATGTACCCTGGGAAGCAGGAGGTGATTGTACAGGGAATTGGATTTCTGACACCCATGTAGGGGACCTGGATAGAGTTCCTGGCTCTTGGCTTCACCCTGGCCCCATCCTGGCCCTTGCAGACATGTGGGGGAGTGAGAACACATAGGAACTCTCTATCTCTCTTTCTGTATATATGTGTGTGTGTGTGTGTGTGTGTGCCTCTCAAATACATAATCAAAAAGTAAGAATAAATTAGCTGAAGAAGACTTAATTTCTTACAGGAAAGTATGATATCTTCCTAGAATGGATTGTGTTGCCCTTTCACCAAGCCTCCTTCTTTCTGCTGTGGAGAAGAGATATATCCTGAGATGCTGAGATGCAGCGAACACCTACAGCAGCATCATGGAGCCACTAGGTGAGAATCCTACAATGCAGAACTATTACTCCTGGCATGATGCAACACAGAAATGGCAATGACTGGAGTCCTGAATGCCTTCATTATAGCCCAGCTGTGGATGGTTGCCTTGGGAGAATTTCTAATTTTTTCATGACAAATACTTCTCTATCAATTGAAACTGAAGGTAGTCAGGAATTCAGTTACCTTCCGCTGCAATTCATATTGCAGTAGTTTAGAGGGTCTGTAATATCAAATTTGGTTTTCACATCCTAGGGTGCTTCTGGTAGCCTATCACTGGGTCTGTCTCCCTGCTGAAAGCTGTACTCACTTTGCCACTTTTTCACCTCTCTAAAGGAATCTCGAATATTGGTTTTGCTATTGAGATCCATTAAAGGATATATCAAAAAGTAAAAGGCACTTTGGAGAAATAGTCATCTAAAAAAACCTTCTGAATATTAAAATGTTATAACCGCATTTTATGATGAATTAAACATGGGAATGAATTTAAGATTTGTAAATTATGGCAAGGCAGCTATTTAGGTGCTATTGTATACTCTTGAAAAACATATTCCAGCTGTTCTGGGGAGCATTACAGCAGCCTAACCTGGCAAAGAACCCTGATCCTGATCATGTTTTACTCCGGGCCATTGCCTAACATATGGATGGAAATTCCTACAGACATCAACCCAAGCCTGACTGCACAAGCAACAGAGTAGGGCATAACTCCCCTTGACTCAGGGGCTTCGCGTATTGCTGTTTGCATTGTGCAGTTAGCACTTCATTGTGTTATCTTAAAAAACTTGGTTCATCACAAACTTGAGAGGAAAAAAGAATGGTAATACCTTCATTTATTATTGTAGCAATTATTTTTGTTGTCAATATTTTACAATGGAACAAAGCCTGCACTTTATAGCTTTTAGCTTATTTTTTTTAACTTTTATTTAATGAATATAAATTTTCAAAGTACAGCTTATGGAGTACAATGGCTCTCCCCCCCCATAACTTCCCTCCCACCCGCAACCCCCCCCTTTCCCGCTCCCTCTGCCCTTCCATTCACATCAAGATTCATTTTCAATTCTCTTTATATACAGAAGATCAGTTTAGCATATATTAAGTAAAGGTTTCAACAGTTTGCACCCACATAGAAACACAAAGTGAAAAATACTGTTTGAGTAAAATATATTATCAGAATTTCACATCTGATGATAATGGGGACTGGAATTTTAATACTCTGAAGAGAAAGTATCATCAAGGTCATTTGTCTCTTCCTATAAATGAGTGCATGATTCAAGCGATATATTCTCTGGTGACTAATCACATATCTTCTGCTTGGGAGGCACAGGGACTTTCACACCATCAATGCTGTATTAAGACTAGAATCCAGATCAACTGACATCCTGATAGATCATCCAGTCACTTCCAACAGATAATGCTGTGTTCTATAAGATATGATGTTAATTCTTCTTGATATCTAGTTCATAAATCCAGTTGACTCTGAACTTTGGATTCAGAAGGTCTCGGGTATTCTGTCACCACTGGGTAACAAATACTCCTGTGAATTGGTACAGTGGTAGAAATGATGCTGCGTATATCTGAAGGTGTGTGCTGTCCTTGGGTGATGGCAGCAGGGGAACAATCTGAATCATATTTGAAAAGGCCTTTGGCTCGTTATTTAGTGCCCGATAAATAATAAGACTATTAGACAAGACACACCGTAGAAGAAATGTATGACTTGGGTAGAATTATCTGGTGATGGATGATAAAATGTAAATATGTTAAGTGTAATGAAATGATGGAATCATGTTCCATTACAAAAGATAATTTGCATGCTAGAGAAAAAACAAATGATGAATAATTTCTCTGATGATTATATTATAGATTTTGAATGAGATGCAAAGATAATCAGAAGTATTTGCTTTATGGGATTTTCTAAGAAAAAGAAAAATTTACACTTTTAAAAATGAATATATGAATGATCTCTGTGAGTGAGATTCCAACGGAAAGAATGGGCCATCAAAGAAGGAGGTACCTTTCTTTGAAGGGAGGACAGAACTTCCACTTTGACTATGGCCTTCTCTAAATAAGATCAGAGTTTGCGAACTCAGGTGGCTTCCATAGCCTTGGCAGTTCATGACAAGAGCCTCGGGTGATTACTGACGTCATAAACAAGAATGTCAATTGTTAAATCAACAACAGGAGTCACTGTGCACTTACTCCCCATATAGAATCTCCGTCCTTAATGTGTTGTATTATGTGAATTAACAGCTTAACTAGTACTCAAATAGTACTTCACATTTTGTGTTTCTGTGTGGGTGCAAACTGTTGAAATCTTTACTTAATATATACTAAATTGATCTTCTGTATATAAAGATAATTGAAAATGAATATTGATGTGAATGGAATGGGATAGGGAGTGGGAGATGGGATGGTTGCGGGTAGGGGGGAGGTTATGGAGGGAAAAAGCCACTATAATCCAAAAGTTGTACTTCGGATATTTATATTTATTAAATAAAAGTTTTAAAAAATGAAGATATGAATGTTAATATGTATATGTAAGTACGTGTATGTAAATATATGTCTGTATGTGTGTATACAAAGGATTTTTATCTCATAGTAAATCTTTAGACATAGAAAAAGATCTTTCATGATGGATTTTTTTTTGAGACAGATAAAGTTAGACAGTGAAAGACAGAAACAGAGAGAAAGGTCTTCCTTCTGTTGGTTCACCCCCAAATGGCCGCTACGGCTGGCACCACGCCAATCCAAAGCCAGGAGCCAGGTGTTTCTTCCTGGTCTTCCACGCGGGTGCAGGGACCCAAGCATTTGGGCCATCCTCCACTGCCCTCCTGGGGCATAACAGAGAGCTAGACTGGAAGAGGAGCAGCCGGGACTAGAACCTGGTGCCCATATGGGATGCCATCATGATAGACTGTTAACTGAATGGTGAAGCAATCCAATCTTTTTTCCAAATATTATTTCAACAGCATTTAATGAGATTCTCCTTTGGAAAAGCTTCTGAGGTAGGCATTTGTATGGTGTATAAAGATGGGAAATATCTCTCTCATTTCTCTATAGTAGATTTGCCATACTGTTGAAAATAAGTTCCCATTCTTATCAGACTGTGTATAGAAGGAAAGAGGTGGCTTAGGTGGGGAATCAGAGACCATGTTTCATTGTTCTTTGATTCTGATGTTCTTGGGTTAGTAGCATGATGAGTAATATAATGTTTTTATGTGCCCACAATCTTACTCTTGTTTTCAAGATTAGGAGAGAAATATGAGAAATCAAGCACATCAAACATGAATGTCTGTCTGTCTGTCTGTCTCTCTCTGATGCGGACTAAATTAAATGTTCCATGAAAAGATATACAAATAACTACAGGGCATCTTCCACCTTGGCTCATTCTGTAATTCTGGTGTTGGATGTATAAGGAAAAATGTGTTCATGAAATATATTTTAAGCAATACTTTTATTTTATATAATAAAACTAAGAAAATGTATTTTTTAATTCCTATCAATGAGCCTTGTTAATTTTGTAATGTATAGGAAAATGTGTTTCCTGGTTTTGGGGAGGAGTACTCGTATTCACAAACAAAAACATAAATTTGACATTTTCCCCTAATATTTCAGAAAACAAATGAGAACCATAGTAAAAAATAAAAGTTTATGTATAAACACAGACACACATTCACATACACATACACCTCACAATGTATACGTAGATATTGTTGGCAAAAACCAATAATACTAAGGTTAAATTATGCATGGTGTTAAGTGCGCAAATGCACACACATTTTTTATCAAAGGAAAAATACATTGTCAATATATGATTTTGAATAGTTGTGTTTCATTGGTAGTGAAAGTAACCATGATTCTGAATGTTCTGTCCTGTTGTCTTAATCCCTTCAGCCACAGAGCACCTAGATGAAAGGAGCAACCTTCGTATGCTCAGAGGTTCAAGGCTACATGAGAAAGTAAACTTTTTTTCTTGAATGCCAAGAATCTGGTTATCCCAGTGGTTTGATTTGGGCATGAGTTCATCCCTAAACTCTGATAAAAGGAAAGATTCTAATAAATCAGACCATGAGTTAGTCTCCAGGATCCCGCAGCTTACCTTGGGCCCCGAATTCCTAGGTTATCACAGTTATGTTGCTCTGAGCAAGTTACTTCATGTTTTTTGTTTTCATTTGCATATATATAGTACATATAGTAATACCTAACTCATTTTTTAAAATAAAGTTTATGTACCTGATTCATAGAAATTGCCCAACACACATGTACAAGGGTGGTGTGGGTGGTATATGCCACTATTTTCATCACATGTGAACTCTACCTCATATGAAGTCCATGAAAAAAGACTTGAATGTGAATAGTTATCCAAAGGGAAATTGAGTTAATGCTTTTAAATGGTAAATAGACACTATATCAAAATATGTCTATAACTGTACTGAAATAGGGACTTCTGTTACTATTGCTTATAAAAAGTTGTATTTATTAGCCACTTTCCATTAAAATAGAGCCAATGCTAAAAAGAAGAAAGCTAAATAAGGAGTGTGCATAGAACAAAGAGACTTATGTCATTCTACTTTGCTATTTACAGTTATTTGAAGCAAAATTCACTTTTACCTTGCTATATTTTATTCTACCATTTGGAAATAAATATTCAATTACATTTGCTAAAGTTTTTCCAAGAAAATGTTTTCAGAAAGGATATGGGACTCTTTATCTTTTGAAAAGAAAACGCGAGAGCTTTTTTGTTTTAGTTTTACATTTATTTTTGTTTGAAAGTCAGAGTTACAGAGAACAGGAGAAACAGAGAAAGAGATTTTCCCTCTGCTGGTTCACTCCCCAGATGGCCGCAAAGACAGAAATGGAGGTCTTTCAGGTCTCCCACTTGGAGGAAAGGGGGCCAAACACTTGGGCATCTTCCACAGCTTTCCCCAGGTCATTATCAGGGAACTGGACCAGAAGTGGAGCAGCCGGGACACTAACCAGCACCCATAGAGGATGCCAGTGTT